ATCTTCAGGAATCTTATTAAGATTTTCAACATTAAAAAGCAGAAACAAAAGGTATAGTTTTTTTTTAATTTAACCAAAAATTGAGGTAGAAATGAGATTTTAAAGTTTGACTTGGCACTTTTTTTAAATCAGTTTTTTGTCGCGTTTCAGTATCAACTGCTAACCTTCATTAAATATTTGTTACTCAACCAATTTTCAAAATAAAAGGCTATTTTACTCGTTTTAGCTAGCAGAACACAGAAAATTAAATAAAAGGGAGAATTTGAAAAAAAATATTTATTATTAAGGTAGCGATACACAGTTAAGAGTGGATTTTTTAAATATGAAAGTTATTGTGCAAAACAAATCATTTCTAGACAGTTGATGACTAGTTTATATTTCAAAGTTGGTTTATTATAAGAACATGTTTTATAGGCTATTTTCTGTTTGACTGTCCGTATTTTCATAGCCAGACCAGCCAGAGGTCTAGAAATTTTTGTAATGTTTACAATCACTTTTTTTTCACACGAACCTTTTGACGTAATTTTCCAAAAAAAATGAGACGAAAGATATGATTTTATTTGATCTCTTGATAGATATATATGTAAACAGCTTCAGAAAGGTATCACTCCAAGGGATGGAAATTCTACTTTTGGCTAAATTTTGGAAAATATGTGACATCTTTACCCCCTTTGCAATATTTTATAGCACATACATGCAGGTTGTTGCCATGGATACGCCAAAAAAATATTTTCTTTAACTATTTCAACTACTGGATATCAAATCTATGGAAGATACTGCCGGATTACATACATATGCACATATATGACACAAACAGTAAGCTTAAATTGTAGGAAAGCAAGGAAAGGGGATGGTAAAATTTATGAGGGTAAATTTGAATTTTTTTTCCTAACTGTATATTGCTACCTAACGTATACTGCATGAGCAACACGACGGATGCCCAATGTGGAGCAGGATCTGCTTACTCTTCCGGAGCACTTGAGATCACCCCACGGTGTTTGGTGGGGTAAGTGTTGCTGAAGTCTAGTTTTCTGTGTTTTTGGTCTTTTTTCGGGGTTTTTTTTGCCATGGTATTTTCAGTTCGTTCTCGACTAACGAGTTTCAATATCCCTTTGGTATCGTCCGCTTCCCTTATGTAACATTTCTCAAACTTAGATAGTTAAATTAGATGTTTAACATGCGAGATTTAGCATTTGAAAATTTGATAATATAACTGTCTCGAGTGTAGAAATAATGTATATCACTCACTGAAGTGGTAAAATCTATATTTATCTCCACCATCTATCCATACATCCATGATTCTAAGACTTCTGCCGTCCAAATAAAGACTCGAGGCAATCAATTATGACTTAACGATAAGATGCTGAAAAACTGAAACAAATTAAAGATAAACAATTAGAGAGATAACGTCTGACTATCGTGTTCATTGCAATTTTTACATCGTTTGTTAATACAAATGTTTGATTATCTTTACAATCATTTAGCATCGACGTGGGAACAAATTAGTTCGTTTGATTGGAATCCGAAATTGACGTGTGTACGCAAGTACGCAAAACTAAATTACAATAAGATTTCAAAAAACATAAATATCAACAAATTCTGGACATTCCTTACGCCCACTAATATCGTGTAAAAATGTAGAAATGGTAACGAAAATATGTTTTTTGAGTACGAATTTCTGCTTTTAAAAACGACTGTAATTCAGATCAAAGCTATAATGAAATCTGGTAGAAGATATAAGATACTTTCTTTCTTTTAAATATAACCCAAATTTAACAACTTCGCATATCAAACCAACCTATAAAGCTACAACAGTATTGCTTTTTTTTTAAATTGCCAAACATGTTCTCTTATGAAGGCTAAACAGGCATTCGTTATCTATGATATTTTTCGCAAATGTTAATATGTCTTACCTAAAAAGTCCTTTTTGAAAAACGCAGGCTAAAAAGTGGCTGAATGTAAATAGGAATCTTGAATTTTCTTTTTTAACAAGTAAATTTATTATATAACAAAGATCGCGTCTTCATATAAAAATCCTATTCTTTGTGACAATGAGATAGAAAGACAAACTAACTACTATCCTCCAAACAATAAAAGATAAAACCTGTCAACACGAATGCTCCGAAGGTGAGTGGTACTGTTCCTGCTCTATAATTTGCACATGTAAGGTAACTCGTGGTAAAATCAATTGCCCGTCATTCGATAGTTCATATACAAGGAAAATAATCACAACAGATTGAACTGTCCTAGATTGACAACGGTCAATCGATTTCAATTCTGTAATTTTTGTAGTTGGTGCTACAATCTTCCCTCACATAATCAAAATGATGGGTGTGAAATGATACACAATGTATTATAGTCAATATAGTGTATATGAAATTTGTAGTACTCTGGCCCGATTAAAAAAACATCAAAATCGTAGGGCCAATTTAAACCTTCGTAAACTTACTCCTTTTATTCAATTTGTAATGTCAGAGGAAAAGGCGTTCTTCTCTGTAATGTATAATCTTTATAACGGTGTTAAAAAACAACACAGGAGGCGTCCTTCTTCTTCCAAATAATCTTTATATATTCAAAGGTTTGCGCCACAAACACAAAGAACTTTCTATATATTCTTTTTTCATTAATATTGGTACGTCATATATTCTATTTTACTAAAGACTTCATTTCAAAGGTTATATGTTTCAATGCCCTAGGTGGCTGATAGGAACATTATTAAAGAAGACTAAAGTAACAATAACAAAAAAGTGCTTTTATTTACCATGTTTAGATAATGTTATAGTTTATATGGAACTAGTATTACTAATTGAGATCAGGTATTATAGGTCTTAGTACAAACAACCACAAGTGTTTACTTGGGTATAGACATATGGTCAAACCGTTCCTAAAGCAGGGCGTCCGTCAGCTGTGTGGGATGTATAAATACTCAGCCACGTCCGGTCGGAATGGGGACATTAAATCTGATGCCTCATGTAGATTGAGTGCTCGTTGAAAAACAAAAGGAAAAAGTTCTGCCCCTATCAAAAATACCCTTATTTTTCAGTATCAGTCAAAACTTCTCGTCCTGATTAGGCATAAATATCTTCCATTGGACGATAAGCAAACAACAATAAATCAATCGACGTACAAATAAAATTCTTAGTGAAACAGTCGGAATTGCTCAAACTCCAAATGGGACGAAACAGTATTCCGTTAGTTGTGCGGGATGTCTAACTATGCAGCAACAACCGGTCACACTACAGGTCCCATGGTCGGAATAGAGACTGCGTGATTAATTGATTGATTGTTGGTGTTTTAATGCCACTTTTAATCGCACCTGGGCTATTTCATGGCATCCAGTTTTTATTTCTGGAGGAAGCCAGAGTGACCTTTGATAGGAAAAACTGAGTTGTCAATAAGATTGGAGTCGAGTGCGGGGTTAGCACTCACAGTGTTGACTGGTTGGTGATTACAATAGTAAAACTTCTTAGACCACTCTGCTAACGAGACTATAAATCCGATGTCTGTTCAATTGAGAGTGCCAAGCTCTTTGCACGTTAAAAACTCCCTTAGGGGTCCGTTGGTGACACTCTCACTACACGAGACATCACATGCTATGGTCTGTAGAAGGCTTTGAAAGTCAGATCCAGTATCAGACAGTTCCTGACAAAATGTGTACCAATGTCAAATAGATGAGGTTGAACAAAGGGGTTTACAAAAACATATTTGAGACACTGTGATACTAAAACGATCAACCAATTCTTGGGAACCATATAACATGTAAATTGATTACCGTCAGTCGTTCTTTCTCATTACATTTTTGGTAAAGTGTTTAAACACAAAATAATTAGAACATACTTCATCAATAAACTGATATCACTCACCTGATAACGGGAGACAGACTTTTGTAGTGTATATATCAGTTTTGGCGGAAGTTATGTCACAATAATTTCTTAAGGAAGTCTCTTATGGCATGCAAGCTAGTTAGACGAAAAACATTAAATCTTTCAATACGATTACTCATACGCTGTTTGTTATTGTTTGCAAGAAAATTAAAAGTGATTATTTGGAAAGTTAAAATGTCAAATTTGTCACCAAAGTCTGTGTTCAGTGGTCATTCGGTATCAGCTGAGATGTATAGGTACAAGACAAATTTTGCAGTAGATCTCAACTGGGTTCCAGATTGGCATATTTTGAATTTTGACCGAAAGTATAATGTATAAAAACATATGATATATAAATTGAATGGTTTTATTATTTAATATTTATACATGACTGACTACTAAGTATAAGGTAAAATATATAGTATGTATTGATTAGAAATGCATTACTGTATTACATTAGCTCTTTACAGTAGATTAGCGTACATATTAAATAACCTTTACTTAGAAATTTTCATCAATTTGAAGCAAAGAATTATAAGTTACAACAAAGCACATAGCAATTAAATTTCAAATAATATTGGAGTTTTTTTATAGTTTATAAGAGCTTATTAACTTAGATTTAAGTTAATCTTTCTTTTAAATAAATTCCTTCTTGATAATTATTTTTTTCGTTTTCTATCATACCAAAGCAGATCAATGAACTCTCTTTTTTCTTATTTTTTACGTCTAGGTTTCTTTTACAGTGCGTTTTTCCCCCAAGTTATTAGATTTATTTATCCGCTTTGTATATATATGGAAGTCTAATCCTCGAAGGCATTTATTAGTATGCGAATCTTCTATGGAATGACAAAACTGTGAAGAATTGATTAAAATTGATTTACTTCACAATAAATGAATAATTTCTAATCAAGTGATGTATTCGTTGTCGTGTTTTCATATGTTTGCACAAATCAATTAGCGTCCAAACTTAATATATGTTGGTTATGAGTTTCTGTGATATCCACCGTATTCGGAAGTATCGATATCCTTTTAAATCCACAATGAATGTTAAGTATAGAATTTCCTGAAACCGCATAATAATCATGAAAACTTCTGGCGGCAGCATCGGTCTAATTAATTCAGATGTAAAATTAAACATGGAGTCGTCGCCATGTGTTAACTTTTAATCAAGATATATTTACATTACTTTCATGCCACGTGCCTCTGAAATGTCAACAATTTCATACTATCTGTTGATTGGAATTGCATTTTAGACTGGAAATGATTTCTGTTTATTCTTGGAAACTACAGTTTATCTTAAATGAATTAAAACTGAATTTCTGGAGTTAGTAAGAGATCATTGATGTAATGATATTCGTTGAATTCAAAGGTAAGTGAACTAATCTTATTTCATTTCAAAATCGATGGATGTCTTGTAATGTTTTTCGTTGAATGCTAGTAAGCTGATTATATTCAAATTTTGTAATGTCATATTTGAACAACCTAACATTGATTTATGCACGCACTTTAAGTATAAAATAAACCAAATGACTGGCAAACAAATGCACGTGAATTACGCATAAAATAAACGTTAAAACTGGCAAAACAAAAATCGATAAAACTGAAAGACCTTCAATCATAGAGTAAAACAATAACTGATAATAACTGTACGTTATTTAAGAACGGAATCAAACGAAAATGACTGATAAAAACTGCACGCGACTTAAGCATGGAATAAAACGAAACAAAGGGTAAATTGTATATCCTTTATTAAGAATAAAATACAGAAGGTTACATATGCTTTGCACACAGTAATGTAAAGTTTATCATCATGATATTTAGTCTCTTTTTAAAGAAAAACAAAATACTATAGGAACATAAACTGGACTTAAATATGACAAAGTTTTAATCATTAGGCAAAAGCCTTTCAGATTCTAGAACAAAAAACAATGCTCATTCTGTAGAAAATAGATGTATTGAATATAACCATGTATGTTAAGGTTTGCATTTTGCCGTATAGCGTATATTTATAATGATTAAAGTGTACTATTGTATGTTGAGTTCAATACGTTTTAAGATACACGCACTGTATGTTGAAAGCTGCAAAATTGTTGGAAATTGCATGATATCTGCCTAATTTTTTTACATAACTTTTTGTAACAAATCAAGATTAAATTTTCTAACAATTTCTACATGCTAGTATTATGTTTGTATCTTTTAAGTAAATTGAAGATATATATATAACAGTGCATTCGTGTATAGTGAAGTTATTTCTACTAGTTATTCCTAACAATACGTGAAAACATGGCAGTTAATCTCCTAGCCCAATCTAAAAGCATATGGAATTACCGAATGCACTTTCAACATGAAACAAGCACTACAAAGTCCTACATAAACACTTACTTTTGTTTGGAATCATTTTAAAATGTTAGACATGAAACATGTGACACTATACATAATACACAACGCCATTAACTGTATTGTAGAAGAGACAAGACATTAGGTAGACAGACTTTATGTCATGATATAAAGAAAAACAATTACAAGAGACACCGGTTAGCCTCACCCCACATTGTATAGAAGGGGCATAGGTGGCCGTGTGGCGTAAGTTGTTGATATATACTAGCTTGTCAAAACTGAGGTTGTGAGTACGAACCCGCTCTTGACAGGTGCGAGTACTCCGGTTTCCATCACCAATAAAAACTTTCCACCAAGTAATCATTAGCCAAGAATGTTGAAATGTGCGTCAAACACACAAACAATCAATCAATCAAAGATTGACTGGGGTGTTACTTTGCTGGTTTTGGATTTTTGTTTTCCCCTGCTTAAGTGGTCTTAAGTGTTTGGTACTTTCAGATTTCATTGAGTACAAATGACGAGAAATAAAGTTTCTAACTGTAGAGACGCTTAGGTAATTTCAACTCTGTATAAAAAAAAACGGATTTATGCGATTTAAACTGAAGTAAAGATATAAGTCTCTAAGTCTCTTAAATAGAATAAACTGAAATAAAAGAATCATCGAGTTACTTATTGTTTACAAATGTTAACAAACAAAATGGAATGATAACTGATTACGCATTGAATAAACCATAAAACATTTTAAAGAAACCAAGATAACTGATGAATTATGCATCACGTGATAATTAAGATAAAAGTCTAACGTTTTGGGGTTTCAATTGTGTATACCTGGAAAATAATCAAGTCAATGATTTCGTTATCATCAATAGCTAAAAGCATTTACAGAATTATCTCAAAGATACAAAGATTTTTTTAATTGGAAACTTAGGCTATTTCTGTAGAAATCTGATTAAATTTCAAATGTGTTATTTTGTTTAAAAGCTCGCAAATCTGGGTATATTGCATAAAGTCTAATAATTCTATTGCATAAAGTTATCCAGAAAGGTTCATCGGTGGAAAATTAATTCTATTTTCAATATATTTACATTCAGGTTAACAAACCCTTCAATACCCTCTTCTACATTTGTGATCGAACAGCCTGTTGAGAGTTTAAATTCTACACCCTTGGGACAACGTTTCTACATCGACTGTCCAGAGTTAGTGGGAGGGTTGAGTGCTCACAAACATTTCAACTCTGTTTACGTGCTTTAAGTCAAGGCCAGTACAGCGGTTTTCTTCCTGCTCTATATACTCTTGTACTGTGTGATATATTTTGCAACTCGTGTTGTTTCTTTTTTCTCTTAGTTTTTGCTGGTAACAGGCTGTTACAAAATAAGATATGAAAGATTTAAAAATTACTTCAAAAGTCACGATTCCGCTGTTGGTAAACTGCTACTGCCCAGGGATAATGTCGGCTCTATAGTCGGTGCTTCGGTACCGATATGATTTATAAGTTACCTTTCCTAAATTTTCCGTTGATAGACTTAGGCTTACTCCCTCGGACAGAGTTAAACTTTGGTGGATTTAGCTATTCTTTGTAGGTCCCTTATCATAAAGCTTCTCAAATATGAAAGTATTTATACACCATTGGCTTCTAGGTGTTTGAGAGTTACTGTTCATGGTAAAACAAGAAAAAGCGCTTTAAACGGGCTAAATGAATAAGGTGTTATATTAATTCTCAAGCTGTATAACATTACTCTCCAGTAGCCTCAAAATGAACGCAGTAAAAAAAATATTCTGTATACAACTATATATCTAACACTGGCCTTCTTACAAGCATAATGACATTGAACCATCTACCACCAGTATTCAAATAAGTGTCAATGTGTCTACTACATGTATAGAGAAACGTTTTATTCTAACTTTGATCTGATTATTGGTGTGGAAAAACAAGCGCTTATGCCATGACAGTTTATATGTACAAGTCATGTTTTCTAATGTGTTTTTTTCTCCTCGCGTAAGAATAGACTCGACATTTATAAAGCATCTACGGTTGATACAAGGATGGTTCAAGTTAAAGTGTGTCATAGTTCATAGAATGGCTGTCATCCTAATAGTACTTGAAAACAGTATTCTGAATGCATACCGACCAGTCCTTTGTCCTACTGTTTGGCGATGAAGCATCGTATATCGATTTTTTGCCTTTAGTTTGATCCGGAAATAATCAAAACAACTTACTGGAATTCACAACTTCCATCACGGATCAGACTAATTCGTCTGAATTAAAAAAAAATAATCATGTTTATGAATATCAAAAGGTGAATATTAATTGGTTATGTCCAAAAATCAGGTAGAAAGAAAAAGTACATTTATTTTGGTAACCATACACCGATGCCTATCTAAATCACATATATGTGATCTGTGCACTTAGTCTGAACAAAACTTGTTTAAAGAAAAATATATATACAGTTCATATAAAAAAAAAACATCCAAAGCGAAGATACAAAGTGCTACCTCATTTAAAATATTTAAACTTTTTATAGTTCTATATTTTATATACATTGGAATATCAGTTAATATAATTTAAATACCGTAAAAGAATATAAAACATCTAATATAATCTTACACGATAGTAAGGTCTATTTTGATACTGTTCTTGTATCTTTGGTGAGTTTTTGCAATAGTACTAGGCAATGATAGAAATGATAGAAAAAAGCATCTAAAGAAATTCGTTTTTCTATTTTAAAAACAAATCAATCGGAAAACAAATATGTTTAAATCCTTTTTTTAAACAATTCAAAAGTTATAACTTGACATTGGAGCGACTTTGACACATGCGTTTCCATGGTGAAAAAAAAATATATATTTTAAAACAAATGATGAGAAGGTGCGATTACGTTTAATATTCCTAATTTCCTCCTCGGGTGGTAAAACATGACTGTTAGATGCAATTCTTAATTCAGAATAATTGACTAGTTTTAATCTTCTCAGTCACTGCAGCAATCAATTAGTTAATGCTAGATGCACTCAAACTGAATACTAGGAATAATGAATACATAATTGAAACCTTCTTTAACGATTGCTTAAAATGTAGAAGCCAGTCACAAACTATAGTATGTTATTTTGACAACGTTTCTATCACAAGATCTGCATTCGTTCTTTTTCAAAATAAGGAGATGTGGTATGATTGGGACAACTATCCAGCAAATTTCAAATGAAGTGGATGTAAGCAATTAAATGCAACCGTACGGCCTTCAACAATGAGAAAAAAACCATACCGTATAGTCGGCTAATAAAGGCCACGACATGAAAAATATGAAATGATTCAATTGAAAAAACTACCCCCGAATTTATAACAAAACAATTTACGAAAAACATATATGACAGACATGAAAAAATGACAACCGCTGAACTACAGGTACCTGACTTTGGACAGGCATATTTGCTTTGCTTCTATGTGAATGGAATAATAAAATGTACAGTTATTCATAAAATTACGTAAACTCTATTTTTGAGAATGTGGCTATGTATACTAAACGTGCATTTATCCTTTATATTAAACCCATAGTTTGCAAGTATAGTAATGAGTTTTGTATTATCTTAGTTAGCTTCAGTTTTAGAAAGTCGCTAAATCAAAATAGAATTGAATAAGTGAATTGTTATGTATTGTATTGAGGAGGTTTCTCTGCAAATTGTCTTCATTTTTCATTTTGAAATGATTCTGTAAAAAATTACTGGAACTAGACATTGAATTTCATTTGAATTAGTTTTGATGTTCGCAAAATACTTTTAAGAATTACAATGCAAGACTTAGTGTCAATGTGGAGTCGGACTGTGGAATGATGTCATATCTTCAGATATTATCATCCCGAAAGATTAAATTTGGTTGACCTGGATAAAGAAGAACAAAGCAACTGTAGGCTATGTAAGGCGAGGGAACTGAACACAACCCAAAACAACTGTAGGCTATGTAAGGCGAGGGAATTGAACACTGAACACAACCCAAACCAACTGTAGGCTTTGTCAGGCAAGCGAACTAAACACTGAACACAA